CCCATTTCTGCCATTTGGCTTCGAGTCAAGGGCATAATCCCCCCCCAGAACAGGCTGCCTTCAAAAGTCAAGCCTCAAAATAAAGCGACCACTTTTTTTTTTCTCTTTTGCCTCAGAACCAGCCTTCTATAGATTGCTGCTGTTCCTTCAGCACTAACTTGCAACTGTTGCCAGGCAGAATCCACCCCCTCTGCTAGGCCTCTCAGCAGACAGGCTAGATCACTGTTACTTCACACAGCTTTGCCTCAGCCCTTTCCCGCCAAAACGGGTTGCCTCAGAGCTCCCTAATCTAGTCCCCAATCTGAGGTGGCACGTTCTTCCAATAGCGTACCTCCCCGTGAGGTAAGCCTAGAAGATTACCTACGCGCTCTCAGATTTTCCCTGACTAGACCCCCCTTGCTCTGGGCACCCTTGCCAAGGCTTTGCTGGACCACTGGACAACTGGACCAGTCGTATCCCACACGCTGGACACCAATCAATGTGACAACCCCAGACCTACTGGAATATGCCACACTTTAATTATGCTGCCACCAACCATTCCCTATAAGGAGTCACACAGACCAGGAATGGATTTTACTAAACAAAAGAACAAGGTTTAATGAAATAACAAACAGGGTAAATAAAAGAATCAGGTAAACAGAATACTGGAATGTGGCTTAGTTTCAATCATATACACACAACAGATTAGCACCCACAGAGCACTTTAAAGTGAAGCACAGACCCTGAACCTATCAGTTCTGGCTACCCACATAGAAACCTGAACCTATCAGGTAGGTACTAACTGACACACAGTTGTACTCAGTCTGACACACAGACTCCAACTCCTCACTCTTCACATCAGCTCCAAACATTTATACAGTACAGCTCCTCCCCCTGATGTCCCGCCTTCCACTCCCCATAGGATGGAACTTTCCCTCCAAACCCATGACAGACAGGTACCATCAGTGCTGTATGTAACAGTTCCATATTTCGTTAAATTTAAAACTAATTTCTGTTTAGATCGTTAGGTCAAAGTTCAAGGAACAAACTCAGAAGAGCAGAAGAAAAAGGGAGATTTGCGCAGTTCCAAACTCAACTTTCATATCGCTGGAAACCCTGTAAGAATAAATCTTCTACTGTTTTGCTTCCTCCTCCTGACAAAATCTCCTCCTGATTGTTTTTTTACTACATTTACTATATTCTGTAGTTTTTTTTTTCATTGTATGACAGCCTAACATGCCTCAGGACAGTTTTAAAATGATACATTAGAAGTATATTTAAATATCTCCTTTGGAGTCAACAGATAAGAAACACATCCTTAGAAACAAATTGAGACGGCAAAATCATGGTCTGAAACTTTCCAGATGCTTTGCTGACTAAAAGTACCTAGCCACAGAACACATACACTCTTGTATGTTAAAAATATATACACTACAGACAATATGTTTTATCTCTCTCTATACAGAGTATATTTTTTTCAGTTTTACCTTTTTGTAATATTTTGAGTGTGGTAGCACATTTTATCATGTGTGATTAGACATGTAACATAAATGTGTGGTTTGCATTCTCATTTGATTCACTTGATTTATTGCATTTCAATTCTATGTATTGATTGTACTGATTGTTTTTTACTACAAATGCAGAGATAGATAGGAAACCAGATACAAGTAAAATCAGTACTTCAGCCTCACAGCAGAGTGGTTAAACTGCAGTAAAGGTAAAGGTTCCCCTTGACATTTAGTCCAGTTGTGTCCATCTCTAGGTTGCGGTGTTCATCCCCGTCTCCAAGCCGTAGAGCCAGTGTTTGTCCGAAGACAGTTTCCGTGGTCACGTGGCCAGCGCAACTAAACATGGCATGCTATTACCTACCCACCGAGGTGGTACCTATTTATCTACTCGCATTTTTACATGCCCTTGAACTGCTAGGTTGGCAGGAGCTGGGACAAGCAATGGGAGCTCACTCTGTCGCATGGATTCAATCTTACGACTGCTGGTCTTCTGATCTTGCAGCACAGAGGCTTCTGTGGTTTCACCCACAGTGCCACCACGTCCCTTATAAACTGCAGTACTACAGCCAAAACTCTGCTCACGACCTGGGTTCAGTCCCAGATAGCTGGCTCGAAGTTCACTCAGCCTTTCATACTTCCAAAATCAGTAAAATGAGAACACAGCTTGGGGGGGGGGGGGGCGGAAGAGACAACGTTTAGCCTACATAATTAATTTGTAAACTGCCCAGAGAGTGCTTTAAGTGCTATGAGAGGGTATATAAGCAGCATGGTTTTTTTGCTTTTTTACCTGCATTTCTTCTACACATGTTCATATCTGCCACTTGTTTCCAAGTATTTGTTCCAGGATCATAGACTTCCACACTTTTCCTTACCAAAGGACCATCATGTCCTCCAGTAGCATATAGCTGTCCACTAAGGACACCAACACCTGCAAGGCAGAATACAGCATCTATCAGAGTTTTACAATGCTCTAGTCATCCATTTCAACTTCACACTCAATACAGAAATTCTTTTCAAATCTTATAATGTGAGCTTCTGCAGGCAGCCAGTGGCTCAGGGGCTGGAAGCAAGGGTCCCAATCCTTACAAAGGAGGACAATTCATATCCACAAACCACTATTGTAATAGCAATCTGTAGCTGGCCTCAGATTGGGAAGGGTACTTCAGCCTGACTTCACTGTCCTTTAACCAGGAATTGCTTTGGTGCCAATTGGACACTAACTGGATGTTCAATAAAAGTTGTGTATGACCCCTAAGGCCATATACACAAATACACTTTAATTATCTATCTGAATACCTACACCTCTAAAGTTCATCAACAGAGTTGAGCCCATCGAGAAGATGAAAAAGTCACACACAGACCTGAATGTATGATCACTTCTATATTCATTGTCATTGTGTCCGAAAGAGAAGTTGTGAAAGGGTATAACACAAGCTGTAGGTAACAATAATACCTGTGTAACTTCTTCCTTCAGACCTGTTAAACTAGGCTACTTTCTATATACAGAGTTAACCACACATTCAGCTAGTTATTGTGAGATCATCACATCTGGAACTACTGGACTTTTAGTTTTTCCTCTGCTTATAGTAATGATTGATACATAAGGAAATCAGATTGTTTTACTTCACAAGTGGCTGTTAGACATTATTTTAATTTCCCGTGGTAAGATGCTTCCAAGTCTCATATCTGTTTAACCTAAGACCTATTACACACTGCCCACCCTGAGCTGGACTCTTGGATTCAAGAAAAATACAGGGAGAATACAAATTCCTTGTTACAACAACTTAATTAGCTGCCAGTCCATTTCTAGGTACAACGGAACGTGTAGAACCTATGACCCCCTGTATGTCTTAAATGCAAGCTATATGAAGAATCATATTTTCTCATATGAGCCTTCCTGCATCTTAAGATCTTCGGGGGAGGTCTTTTTCTCATTCCCGTAGAGGTGCACTTGTTGAGGACCTTCATGGTGGCTGCTCCCAAGCTATGAAACTCCCTACTAAGGGAAGGCCAGCACACTACCCTCTCTGCTGTCCTTCCACCAGTAGGCAAAAGACTTATTTCTTCAGGCAGGCTTTTAGTAAACAACAGACTGCCAAGAAGGGGGGGGGGGTTAAATGGGTGACCCTATACTGTACCATTTTTTTTAAATGTGCTTTTAAATCATTTGAAATTGTTTTTCAAAGAATCACAGAAAAATGGGGTTGGAATGGGGTTTTAAATGACTTTAAAAAATAAACTTAGGGATTGTTAAGAAACTTGTGCAGATATCTACACCTTATAACAAAGGCATGAAAATAAAGTACCTGCACCACTGCGCCGAGTACTCATATCTGACACATAAGACCACTCATTTGTAGCTGGGTTGTATTGCTCAACAGTACTAAGGCACTGGCGTGACGCTCCGTCATAACCACCAACAGCATACAGTTTACCTAGAATAATATGCAACAATGGCCATCAAAAGAAGTAATTAAGAGAGAATGATGGTGAGTGATAGAATAATATTTTACAACCAGCATTTCACTACTGCTGATTTGCATTACATACTTCTACATAATAAACCCACAGGAAGCTTGATAAGTCTCCATATTTATAATATTTTATTAAAATTTTATCACATATATCAAATTTATAGATCAGTAAGAAGTTAATCAGCCCTTGCTAAATGATTTTTAGAAACACTGGCTACCAGCCATATTTTAAATAGTGTTTATAGTCAGGAGTTCAGATTTAATACACCTTTTGTGGCTGAAAAGAGTTTGCAGTCCTTACCGTCCACAACACCAACTCCGACACTGCTTCTTCTGGTGTTCATAGGTGCCACAAAAAACCATTCATTGGATTTATAGTTATAGGCCTCCACAGATGCCAGACCTATTTTGAGAATGACAAAACAGGTTTTCTACTTCAGCAGCTTAGCAGAATATAGCTCCTTCCTCATCAAAGGTGTCACCTTGTTTTTACATTTTCATTCCAAGCAAAAGGGGAAAGAATGCAAGCTGAAACTACCTCAATAGCTGGGAATCTTTTACTTGGCCTGTTGCCAATAATAATATGCTTGCAGTAAGAATCTGCATATGGGAACAGCATCCCAGTTCTCGTGACTTATGATTACTCAACAGCAGTTTCAAAAACAGTTCGTCACAAACAAGAACAGGGAAAAATGTTCAAACAAGATTTGTGTAGAAGGATATTCATCAGCTTCTAAAGTGAAATATAAAGGGACATGGGTAACATCTCCGGTTATGCTTCTGCTCAGAGAAGCCAAACAAGAAAAACAAAAGCCTTGCTTGTGAAAATCAGCAACGCTTTCTGCCAAAGACTGGTATTTGCAGGTTGCCCAGCATGCCAGTGGCAATTTATGTAAAATAGCAAAGTTTCAAACCTGGGGGCAGAAGCACAGAGTTCAGAGGGAGCTCTGCAATCCTTAGGTAGTATTTCAGGACAAAGACATGAACGAAAGTTGCCCATTTGTCTCAGCTTCCATTTAGCAACCTACCTGTGCTTCCATCAAATCCACCAACAGCATAGAGGAGCTCATTTAGCACAGCTGCCCCTAAAGTGCTTCGTCTTTCCTGCATACTAGCTATTGACGTCCACTGGTCTTTCACTCCATCGTATACATCTACTGTTCGGACTCGTAAAGAGCCATTAAAACCTCCCACAGCATAGACTTTGCCTGTCATGAATACCACCCCTGTTAAAAACAAATTGGGAGAAAGAAAGACTTCAGGCAGATCGTGCCTACATCAAAATTCTTTTTCTTAATATTCCTGTCAGAAATTCATGTTAGAATTGGGGCCACCAAGGAACATTCCAGCATGGTGGCAGTTCTATGTGCGAGCCACAATGTCTGGAAGCTCTTCGCTAAAGGCATCAGGCCTATCACTGAGCAATCCTTCAGGCTGATACTGCACATCTCCGATGGATGTTGGCATTAACATGATGTCTCCATAGTCAAGAGGCTCAATGGAAAAAGCAAATGTATAAAGGTTACACACACACCGGAGTGCTCCATTGCCAGACAGAAGCATTTCACAGCAGCCTCAAACAGCCATTTCACACATTACACAATAGAATCTAGATCTGTCACCAACTGTATACTCAAAAAGAACCTGCAAGTAATCCAACTAGCTGATGAATTTTTGCATGTATGGTGCATAGGTGTTTTCAATCAGACATTTGTTTGTTGCAATCATGATATACATTTTAAAATGTTCATTTAAAAATGTAGCCCCTGAAATGGCTCTTAGATACTGCTGAAATACATGATGTGATCAGTAGCGGAACATGGAAAATATAAAGTGTTTTTTTGGACATTCACAGATCCTACAGCCAGCATATTTAACAGCCATGCTGTATGCAGTATTTTGGGAGTTAGAATAAAAAACATAACTTTCCCAAGACCTGGTCAGTGCATAACAAGTGCATAACACTTGTTAGCAGAGGACAGCTAAATTCCACGCACCACTAGTGCTTCATTGTGCATTGTTATATAGGCTAAATATAATGATTTCTCAAACTAACACAGGATGCAAAATGTACGGCATCTAATATTTGGGATTCACACTGAGTAAAGTAAGATGTACCTGCTCTACATCTCCGGGAAGGAAGTTCGGCAACTTGATCCCATCGTTCCTCCTCAAAGTCGTAACACTCCACGCTCCGAATTGCTTTGGGTGCTTGCCCACCCACTACAATCATTACCTTAATGAGAAAGATTAAAATATTACAGAACTCACCCCCTCCCAAGAAAAGTACATTTTATTTTCAACACGTGGGAATTTGGCTTGTGCATATTAAATACAGAAGTGTTGCCAGAAATGTACTGGATAAAATACTGATCACAGCTTTTGGGTGAAGCCTTTGCACTCTAGCTTTCTTAGATTGACTAAGTTCAGATCCCAAAAGAGCTATGTTTTAATAAAAACATGTGATAACAGTCTAAGATATAAAAGTTCTAAGAACAATAGAAGCACTGATGGTGTGTAATATGAGGAGAGACAAGATTTAACACAAAATTAGGATGAAATCAAGGCTATGAAATGAAAATTAATTCCAAACTGCTTTAGTTGTTTAGTTGTTTAGTCGTGTCCGACTCTTCGTGACCCCGTGGACCAGAGCACGCCAGGCCCTCCTGTCTTCCACTGCCTCCCAAAGTTGGGTCAAAGTCATGTTGGTTGCTTCGATGACACTGTCCAACCATCTCGCCCTCTGTCGTCCCCTTCTCCTCTTGCCTTCACACTTTCCCAACATCAGGGCCTTTTCCAGGGAGTCTTCCAAACTGCTTAATGCGCCTCTATTTTATATATACCTTTTCATTTATGCATCAAGCTGGCTACATTTCACAGCCTTCCTTTTAGAGGCCACTGGTTTTGGTCGCCTTCAAAATTATGTTGCGGATCAAAGGTTATGACAATAGCTGACTAGACTGGCATACAGATGCAAATTTACCAAGTTACTCTCTCTTTTTGGGCTTTCATGTATTGTTCAGGTTACATACAATTCCCCCGATTTATATTGTTCATTTCTGGTGTGGCTCAAGGAAGTCTTTTTTGGCACATAAGCAAATTTCTGGGCTTCTAAATAGCTCTAATGGGTTAAAAAAAGATGCTAGCATATGAGGCCACAAAATTTCTCTGCTTGATACAAAATTACTACCAGGTGTAGCCAACATACTGGGTCTTTGGATTAGCAAGAGAATGAACTGCATCTGAGTTTCTCAGCAACAAGGTTACGCTTACCTTTGGCAAGCTAACTGGCGTTCTTGGTTTTGTTCTTGGATTCTTTATCAGCTGTCTTTGATCCAGTGGAAGTAAATGGTATTTCATGGCTTCAATAAGGAAGTCCTTGCATGTATTATTATTCTTAATTAAAGCTTCTTCTTCAACTGTCTGAAAATCTCAACAAAGATTAATATTATGGCTACCCTTCACTAATGAAAAAAAACACCTCTGAATCGACGGAAGATTGCTTTAACCTTGTCATTAATAATTCTGGCGTATCACTAGTACTGCTTCTTCCACATCTGACTTGTCTGAGTCATCTCCATATTTAACCCATTGCAATATTAGTGCAAACTGGGCCCCAAGGCTGCAACATGTCAAGTGGTGCTATATTAATCAATCAAAGGTGGGCAAGCTTTTTGCCCCAGGGGCTATATGTGGTGATGGCTGGTGGATGGAAGGATGATGGAAGGATGAGAGATACTAAGTACATACATACAGATTTCTCCCTTGCTTCATTTCCTCAAAAATACACAGATATACACACATACTTTACTTCTCCCATCTCAGGATGTGAGGACAGAGAGATTTAAGCCCCCCCCCTTCTTTACCTGATTAATTCCTTTTGAAAGACGAGGGTTGTGCTGGTGACAATCAACCCACTCCTAACTTTGAAAGCTATCCATCCTGGGTGAAGGATGGAACCCTCAATATGATTCAGCTGAATTCTTCACCACCCTTCAGTTTGGAAAGAGTGTGACCACAGAGGGAGAAAGGTCGGGAAATAACACTTTTCATACACCTCTCTCCTCCACCCGTGGGACACGAAGAGGGAAGTGTGTAAACAATACAGATGCTTATCCAGTCTCATATGTGAACTAAAGGCCACACATAGATGGTCCAAATACTTACTATGACACCACTTACTGGTTATAAACAGAGTATAAACAGTAAGAGGAAGGAAGTTGTGAAGCTTATAATTTATTATTGGGGAGGACCAGATATTCTGGACATGCAATAATTCTGTGTGTGCGTGTATGTGTGTACATTTTGGTAATTAATAATAATCATGTGCCATCAAATCAATTCTGACACGGTGACCCTTTTCAGGGTTTCCCAAGTACACAGTACTCAGAAGTGGGTTTATCATCCCCTTCCTGTGACTAATCAGCTCACCCAAGGCCACACAGGCTGGCTGTACTCCCAGAAGGGACAGTGGGGAATCAAACTTTCAACCTCTGGCTTGGCAGCCAGACACCTAACTCACTAAGCTACCCAGCCTTATGTACATATAAATCATGTACGCAAAAACACATGAATAAAAAGTGGTTGCAACCTAGTGTCTCAATCATTAAGGGCTCCTCCATTCACATGTTATGTAAATAAAGTCTGACACACCCTTTTCTCCAAAATGCAAACAATGCTGTCTCCTTCTCTTTCCATAGCCAAGAATGGGACAGGCACTATTTTGCCTGATCATCCATCTATCTGAGCTGTGATGAAAAGAAATCTGTGTTAGTTGTTCCAAATAGTGCGTTCCAGAGAGCCAACATCTCTGTATGCTTTCAAAACCACGAAGTGACAATGTGTGTGTGTGTATATGTACCAAAACACCTTCTTCAGCAACTCTAATGCCAATCATCCAGAATTTTATTTTTAGCTTTGGATATTTAAAGATGAGTATGTGGAGTTTGGCACAGGAGCTGTGGGAAATAATACTCAAAAGAACTGTACTGCAGGTACAGACATTACTCACAGAAGGTTATGGCCCTCTTTTCCTAAAGAAGAGGGAATATTCCTCATTCCTTCCAGACTTAACCAGCTGGTGAAACAAGCTCAAAATAGGATGACTGGTAAGGAGAAATGTCCCAGTCTCCTCCTGTTATTCTGACCTAGAAGTAATAGCTTCATATATCACCAAGTATTCTTGAGAATTTTAGCCCCCATTCTATTCAGCTGAATTTTCAAAAAGGGAGGATTCATCTAGCAAGGTGATGAACAAGGAAGTGCAGTTCTGCTGTTCATGGTCTTCCGAAGGATGCTGAAGCACAAACAAGTAGCCCAGATTCATATGATTTATGTTTAAATCTTACAGGTGAATACTGACCTGTACAAGGTAATCTCTGGGCAAGAGAGGGAGACGGACATGCTCCATCAGCTTCGCCATGTGTTCTAAGCGAGACTCTTTTTCATAATTTATCCAAGAAATGACAGCTTCGAACACCTAAACAGAGGAGGAAAACTGTCTGTCTAAAAGGACACAAATGCCAAACTATCATAAATACTTCCAGAAACGTATAAATCCAACTTTGAAAGCTGTGATCCAGCAAGCCATGTGACAAATTCACATAAGCCAAGTAAATTCCATTTAATAGGGAAGAAAAGACGGGGGGGGGGGGGTCAAGGACCCTTTAATTCCGGCACCAGTGTTTGGCAAAGGTTTGTACTCCAGGTAAGTCCTGGGCCCTTTGGTTTACTTTTTAGTTTCAGGTTTTAATTTGTTCATTATTTGTTTCAGTTTATTTCATTTTTAACGGCCTCATTTTCCAGAGGACAATGGTTAGGTACAAAACTGACCAATAATTTAATAAAAGACAGCTGCAAATAAGAATAAAAACCAGTGTATTTATATCAAGTGCTGCTAGATGCAAACATAAAACATTACTTCCATATGCCACAGCCCTCAGCTCTTTTGCAAACCTCAAATTATGCAATGCACATTCAAGTCAAATGTTAAAGTCATCTGTCTTCTGGACAATGTGGTATAATGAAGAGAGGTTACTTACCTGTAACCATGGTTCTTCAAGTGGTCATTCTGTGAATTCACACAAAAAGGGTTAAGTCAGCGCCTGCGCTGGTTCTTTCGAAATGTTCTCGAGCTCTGCAGAAAAGAAACATAGTTTAAGATTACCTACACTGCGCATGCTCCGCCTGCCCAATGCTCAGTTCCATTTGTCCACCACAGATGTGAAGGCATAAACTAGATAAATTCAATGACGGAAAGTGGGGAGGCTTGTGTGAATTCACAGAATGACCACTTGAAGAACCATGGTTACAGGCAAGTAACCTCTCTTTCTTCATTGTGGTCTTCTGTGAATGCACACAAAAAGGGTGACTAGCAAGCTAACTCACCGGAAGGAGGGCCATCACTGAAGAGCAGAAGTCAGCACAGCCCTGCCGAATCTCGTCTCATTCTTGGCCCTGAGGTCCAACCTGTAGTGTGTGATAAAGGTGGACGCCCGCGACCAAGTGGCAGTTCGACAGATATCAGGTACATCTATGCCACACAGGAGAGCTGCAGACGAGGCGACTGCTCTAGTCGAGTGGGCACGCAGACCGTCGGGTGGCACCTTATGTTGGAGTTCATAGGCCAACGATATCGTAGAGACAAGCCACCGATAAATAGACGAAGGAGCTGCTGGAAGACCCTTTTTATGTCCAAAGTAACAGAGGAACAGCTTGGAAGATAAACGAAATTCTTTGGTCCGTGAAACATAGAAAGCAAGTGCTCTCCTGACATCCAGGGTGTGGAGCATGCGCTCTGTATCATTAGTAGGTTCAGAAAACAAAGTAGGCAGTAGAAGAGGCTGATTCAAGTGAAATTAGATACCACTTTGGGGAGAAAGGAAACATCAGTGTGCAAAATAACCTTGTCTGGAAAGAATTGTAAGAACAGTTGGTCAGCTCGAAGGGCAGCCAACTCACTGGCCCTGCGAGCAGAAGTTATGGCGACTAAAAATAGTACTTTGAGTGAAAGCATCTTGAGGTCACAAGTCGCCATAGGTTCAAAGGGCAGCCGCATCAAGGCGTGCAACACAAGATGAAGTGACCATTGTGGCACTGGTCGTCTCACAGGAGGTCGTAGGAGGAAGGCTTTCACGGTAGGATGTGAAAAAAGATGAGAAGCAGGTGAATTTTGAGGTTGGAAGGAAACAATAGTGGCAAGATAAACTTTCAAGGTAGAAATAGATAGGTTAAAATCGAGCAAGTACCGGAGGAACTGTAACATAGTAGAAAGGGTAACTGGGGAAGGCGTAAGACCTCTAGCCTCAGTGAACTTGAGGAAACTTTTCTACTTGTAACCATATAACAAAGAAGTGGACTCTTTCTTAGACTTGTCTAAAACTTCCCTAATTTCGGGGAGACCCTCCACGCAGCAAGGTGCAGAGTTTGGAGGTCCGGGTGAAAAATCTTGCCCGCATCCTGAGTAAGTAGGGCAGGGAACAGTGGGAGTCGGATCGAGTCTATTGCCATGGAGGTCAGGGTCGGGAACAATGACTGACGAGGCCAGAGTGGTGCTATCAGAATTGCCTGAGCCGACTCCTGGCGGAGTTTTACTAACGTCCTCTGTATTAGGGGGAGCGGGGGGAACAGGTATAAGAGTCCCATCGTCCACGAGATCATAAAGGCGTCCCCCAGGGAACCCCGTCCTTTGCCCGCCCTGGAGGCGTAGAGAGGGCAATTCCTGTTCATTTGGGTGGCAAAAACGTCCACACAAGGTGCGCCCCATCGGTGGCACAATTCCTGAAAGACACTGATGTTGAGTTTCCACTCGTGCATCTGCATCGAGTGGCAGCTCAAATCGTCGGCCAGAACGTTGTCCTGCATCGATACATGCACCACTACTGGAAAAATGTGATGATGGTAACACCATTCCCACAGTGTTATCGTCAGGAACAGAAGTGAATGAGAGCGAGTTCCCCCTTGTTTGTTTATATAGTACATGGTCGTGGTGTTGTCCGTGACTATTTGCACACCATGACCATGCACTAGGGGGGAAAAGGCTCTGAGTGCTTTGATGATGCCTAGAATCTCCAAATGGTTGATATGGAGAATCTGCTCCTGTGGGGACCACCGGGCATGAACTCAATGACGGCCACAATGAGCCCCCCAGCCTGTCGGGCTTGCGTCCGTGGTGACTTGGACGGTCAGCTGTAGAGGTTGGAAGGGACGTCCCACCTGTAAATGCGGTACAAACGCCCACCATTGCAGCTGTTTTGCTAGTTCTGGCGTGACTTCAAGACACTTGCCCTGATGATGATGGAGGGGATCGAAGAGTGACATGAGCCAGGCCTGTAATGACCTGAGCTTGAGTCGTGCATGTGCCAAGCCGGTCGTTGTCGGTGTCATGAGGCCGAGTAGATGTTGAGCGTGGAATGCTGTGACTCTCGACCGCGGTTTGAACTTGTTCACTACTTTCAGGATCTTGTGGATTCGCTCCTGCGGAAGAAAGATGCAACCCCTGGTGGCATCTATTGTAGCACCGATGTAGTTCACCACACGTGAAGGCGTCAGATGAGATTTTTTGTAATTTACTGTGAGACCTAGATTTTTCAGTACATGCAAAGTGAACTCTGTGTCTTTTAGGGCTTTGCGTCGGGAAGGGGAGACCACTAGCCAGTCATCGATGTAGGGAAATACATGGACACCGTGGAGTCTCAGGTAAGCAGCAACAGGTGCCATGCACTTGGTAAAAGTCTGGAGGGCTGTGGTGAGACCGAACGGGAGAGCCAGGAATTGATAAATGACATCTTGGAAGACAAACCCGAGGAATTTGCGATGAGCAGGATGAATGGTTATGTGAAAATAAGCATCCTTTAGATCGATGACCACAAACCAATCGTTCTGTTTCAGGAGATGAATGATGAACTCCAATGTTACCATGCGAAATCGGCGAGGATGAAGGTAAATGTTCAGGGTTCTCAGGTCCATGATGGGCCTTATTCCGCCGTCTTTTTTGGAGACAGCGAAATACCTTGACTAGAAACCGTTTGCAGCATCTCGTCTTGGAACTTGCTGAATGGCCCATTTTCTTAGCAAGGACCGAACTTCCTCCTCTAAGGTAGGGTCAAATGATGTGTGTTCTACCCGACCTAGAGGAGGATACTCTATAAATTTCCGACAATAGCCAGAATGAACGATGTCCAGAACCCAGGAGTCTCTTGTGATGATGGACCAGGTTTGAAAAAACGGTTATAGTCGTGTTGTGGGAGCGGGGTGCAGTAGGATTGTTGTGGAGTCAAAGATAATGCTTCTGTTTCTTCGCAGGAGGTTTATAGGATTGACGCCTCTGAGAGGATTGAGCACAGTAAATCGAATTGGAAGAGGAACCCTGTGAGGATCTAGATTGAGATTGACCTTTGAATTGTCTAAACTGTTGCGTAGGGGGAGCATACTGGGTTGAAGGCTTCCGCCACTGATATTTAGTAAAACGTGGTTGCGGCTGAAAGTAATAGGACTTAGCCGTTTTCTTAGCCTTGTGCAATTCCTCGAGGTGGCCATCTGTTTTTTCACTAAAGAGGCCAGAAGCATCAAAGGGAAGATCTTCAACTTTGATTTTCATGTCGTCCAGAATATTAGCAGACTGAAGCCAGGCATGCCTACGGAGGGTCACCGATGAGACTAGGACCCTAGCAGCTGCTTCCACTGAATGCCTGGTGGCAATCCTTTGATGCTTAGAAACTGTCTGAGCTTCTTGAAAATGTTCAGATATCCCTGACGAACATCCTCTGGGATTAGTTGCAACCCTGGGAGAATCTTCAACCAGAGTTGTTTTAGGTAGGCACCTAAAGCTGTTTGATAATTAGCTACACGAAGGAGGAAACAGATTAGTGAGTAGATGCGTCTACCAATCATTTCCAATTTTTTGCCTTCTTTGTTGGTAGGAATGACGTGGGCTCTCCCAGTGGGCTTGGTGCAACTGGATTCCACTATGAGGGAGTTAGGGATCGGATGTTTCAAAAGAAACTTAGCATTGTCTCCAGTAACCTTGTACATATTCTCAGTGTGCCTAGGCTGTGGGACCGCAGCCGAAGGATGGTCCCAAAGTTCCTTTATAATTTTCAATAAGGCTGGGAGATGGGATAAACTAGGGGGAGGAGAGCATTCCTTGTTAATATCTCCGAAAATCAAATCTTCCTCTGGAAGTGCGGGCTCATCCATATGTAGTTTGAGGGTCTTAGCAAGTCTGGACAACATTTGAGAATATGAGGAAAAGTCTTCAGAAGGCGAGGATTCATGTGGATCACCGGTGTCGGGTTCCACAGTCTCCCCTACGGGTAGCTCATCACCCTTTGGCTGCTGAGGAAGGTCACGATCTGAGTCAGAAACCTGAGAGGAAAAAGGCACCTCATCATCCGAAGAGGGCTCATGTCTCCTGTTCCGACGCCGAGGGTCGACATCGAGCGCAGTTACAAGTGACTGCTGCTGTGGGGGTAATGGAGTAGCCAGAGAGACAGGAACAGCAGGAGGGCCAGTCGGTTTTGGTGGAAGCGGAACTGGCTGTGAGGGCTTTCCTACAGAGTCCTTATGTCAACGTCGATGCTTCCGAGGCGGGGAGGAGACGGATGAAGAAGAAGACACATAGACATACTTGGTACGCCTATGACGTCGATGTCGATCCGACGAGGAGGGAGAGGAAGAGTAGTCCCTTCTACGGCGGCGCCTATGTTTTCTACGCCTCAGCCCCAAAGTGGAAGAGTCCTCAGAGGAAGATCTGTGTCGACGTCGAGAACGGCGCTTCTCCTTAATTTCCCTCGAACGATGTCGATCACTGGAAAGATGTTTCCTCTTCTCCACTCTGTTGGGGGGAGGCGGAGGGCTGGAATGGGAGGGAACTGGAAAAACCGATGGAGCCAGAGACGCCTGCCCGGTGGAAACAGGGCTAAGAGGGGCTAAACCCAAGCTTGCAGTAACTTGGACAAGCTGACTTGGCGTTGGAGAGGGAGCGGCAAGGGGTATAGCTGGCTCAGGTTGCCTCGGAGGGAGCGAGGGGACTAGACGAATCCTCCAAGCTCGGCGAAGGCATGGCTGAAGAGGTGGAGGGAAGGTGTTGAGTAGAAAATTTATTTTTAACAGGCTGCTTTGTTTTCGGTTGCTTTGCAGGCTTGGGAGCCAAAGTGGCTTTGGAAGAGGAGCCTTTCTTTGCTGCAGCCTTCTTGTGAGGTTTAGCAGCAGCAGCTTCAGAAGGAGCAGCCCCAGGTAATTGCTGAGAACCACCCTCAGCAGAAGAAGTAGCTGGTGGAGAGGGGCGCTCCATAGTCAACGGTTTTGAGGCAGAGAGGAACCGGGAGCGACCGGTAAAAAAGGCGGGAAAAGAATAACTCACAGCCAAAGTCCTGAGAGTGAGCCGAAACGCCAAAGCCAAGTCCAATAAGCAGTAGAAAGTCCAAATAACACATCAAATGGTAAAAAAGCCAGGAAAAGCAATGTAGAAATCGCGAATTTAGCAGAGCTAAGAAGCAAGGAACCACTTCGCACAGCGGAGAAATGGAACTGAGGATTGGGCGGGTGGAGCATGCACAGCGTAGGTAATCTTAAACTATGTTTCTTTTCTGCAGAGCTCGAGAACATTCCAAAGGAACCAGCGCAGGCGCTGACTTAACCCTTTTTGTCTGCAAGACCACGATGAAGAACTATAAATTATGAGGTTGAGTTCCTTGGATCTAAATTTAAAAAAAAAATACCCATACCACTTTTACCCCTAGAAGAATTACAGAAAGTATGTGTGAGTGAGGGACAGGGAGACAGAGAACTCGATTTGCATGTTTTATTCTGACATCCACTCTTTTGCTTGGCAGTCTTTCAATAATATTAATGAAAAGAAAAACGATGTAATATCTGAGGATACTGGAATTCACTGTGTGTTGGAAGTAAAGAACTTCTATCAAGGACTTCAGAAGGATCAAGGAGTTATGTGACATAGAAAAAGGTTATGCACCAGCCATTGGGAACTTTTTTTTAATCAGTCAGATTTTCATGCCCAAAGATAATATTTTCTCCACAACTCTGAATACTACTTGACACCCACTTAAAATAATGAAGTTTTCTTTTGTGTGTGTGAAGGCACCATCACTTTCTTATTACATGTCACAAACCATGATATACACCACTACTACCAACCTGGTGTCCTCCAGATGTGCATCAACTCCCATTATCCCCAGCCAACATGGCCAACAGTACAGTCTTCACCACACTGACATCTATGGTCCTGACCACACAGAAATCTAGTCCCATAAATATATAAGCAATCCATTAATTGAAATGTTGATCCTTGTCAAGACCAACAACTTGAAATCTATTTTTGTGGAGGAATCAGGCTTTGTATGAACTTTCAGGCTGGAAATATTTATGTCAATCAAGAGTACAAAGGGGTACGTGTGTTACATTTACTGGGTGTGCCCTGGAATGCATAAACCAGCTGGGATTGTAGAATAAAACTGGTGATGGCATTTGGTTCTTTTAAAAATGCGTATCATTTGGCCAGTGTAAATTAGTAATGGGACATTAAATTTAAAGTGGCACTAATTACATTCTGTTCAGCTCACTGTATTTTTTATAAAAGATTAATTAAGTCCTCGTTTAATTCTCTTGTAAATTGTCAACTTTGAATTCTGTGGCTCCTCATTTTTATTTTTAAATTTTTTAAGCTTAATTAGTGGCTGTTCATAGGAAATCTTTCCCCCACTACTAAAGTTACTTATGGTTGATTTAAGGTGCTGTATAGCTTAATTGACCTCAATCTTCCTGGACAACAGTTATCAAACCTTTCTTAGGATGACACAGAATTATGTTAATTTTATTTATATTCTACAATCTTGCCACTGTTCTTTATATCACAGTGCAAAGATGGTGCAATGGTCCACTTTCTTAATGTTTTTGATTATTTTAATCTATTGGAAATCACAAAGAGCCTATGAACAAATGCAAGCAAGCAAGCAAGCAAGCAATAAAAGCACTCCTCTTTAAAGTCTGAAATGGTTTGGGAATCAAACATTCGAAGGAGGACCCTTTCCTATACCAGAGATCTCCATAGAGGCTGATACCATTTCCATATTACAATTAATATGTGTAGTTGTATCTAGAAGGGTTTTTATCCTGGGCAGATACAAAACGTGACAGCTAAGGAAATAGTATGTGACAGTATCATAACCATAGAACACTCTTAAACAACTGATGCTGATGCTGCAGTCTGTTCAGTGGCAGGTCAACATGTCTTCATTTGTCCCATAATTTATAATAGTGCTATAATGGTCAGTTTCTTTCATTATTTTAGCTGCCTATCAATTGTTTTATTATAAGCCACTTTAAAGTCTTTGAAAAAAGAGCAAGACAGAAGTGTAATAATTGATAAAGCACAATAAGTACATAAAAAGATGCTCAAGAGTCTAGACACTAAGGCTTATTGTCTGAAATCTTGCTGGCATAACCAGGCCTGTGGAAGGCTGGTGATGTCATCAGCCAGAGGAAGATTGTCCATAATTAAGAAATTCCCACAGCTTGGCTAAACTGCAAATAATCCATTTCACAATGTGGAAGCCATGGAAGCTGCATGATGGAAGGAAGAAGTATTTCCTTGGCCAAAACTGCTCTCATTCGATTGTGCTACCAGTAAGGGAAGATTTTTGGTAATTAAAGGCTTCCTTCTATTTTCACACAGCTCCCATAGCTTTCAGACAGTGAAACAGATTATCTGCAAGCAACATTCCCTCTAAGGCAGTGGTCCTCAACCTTGGGCCTCCAGATGTTCTTGGACTACAGCTCCCAGAACCCTTCACCACCACCTCTGCTGGCCAGGATTTCTGGGAGTTGAAGTCCAAGAACATCTGGAGGCTGAAGGTTGGGGACCACTGCTCTAAGGCAATCAGGTGCACAGGTGTGTAACTCTGCATCAGGCACAAGCAGCTAAGCCAGTGTTTTCACCTATTTGCTTTCACTCATGGCTGGAATCTCACCCACAGGAGCAAAGCCTCCATGTAGCACTCCAGAAAATTAGAGGGAATGTTGTCTGCAAGTCACACAAAAATCTCCTCCTGCTACTAACATCACCAGATATAGTTACACCAACAGTCATTATCTATAGCTGACAAGGTCTTAGGAATCCAAGGCCAAATGTACTCCCTGCTGTATCTTTTTCACTATCAATGGGCCAAGGAGGGGCAAATTAGTTAGCTATGGAGGTAATACCTGAAGCAGTGTTTAAATGACAATATATAGCACCACCACCACCAAAGATTTTCTCAAAATGCCCCAGAATGGCATGAATTTGAGAGCATTGTAGGAAATTAAGAATATGGTTAGAGGCAAATTCCTGGTCCTGTTCAAAAGGCCAAATGGGGGAGGGTAGGGGGATTAAAGCAACTCATCAGCTGTAGGCCTTGCAAGTTTCTGAAATCAGCTTTTACTTATTTTCACCAACATAGCTAACATACTAATGCACAGCCTAAATCACTACAATGGCATTGTATGTGCAGAGTCTAAGAAAGTAACTTCACTGAATTACAACCTCCAGGGTCCTCAACCAGCAGGGATGCTGGCTTGCTTATATTAGCTAATAGAATAGTCTGTTACCTCAGTCTAGACACATGTAATACATCATACTTGGAAAGATCTGAAAAACACCTTTACTGGAATATAACTGTAAGAAAAATAATTACTCTTTTCAAAAATATATTATTTGTGCACATTGTATTAATTCTTGTTTTTTTTTTCTTTAAAGATCTGTTGATCCATGGGAAACACAAATCAGCTTGTATCTTCTTTAATAAAACTATTTTAATTAAATTTTATCTGTTTGAGTAGCAGCAGCAGTAGCAATATTTATATGTTAATTTTGCCAATTGGTAAATGGAGCTTAAAAGAAATATTTGATCAGGGTGGAAGGAATGTAATCTCATCAGCTTTAGCCTAACATACCCACCCATGAGAGAGACTTGTCGGGCAGTATCACCTGGTGCTGGACGAATTGCCCACGCCTGATTTACAGGGTTAGGTTTTCATTGTTCTCCACATCTTCTAAGATTGGACTTTAAAGTCTGCATAAGTCTAACACCGGACATCTAAAAAAAATCTGTTGTTTTTCGTATGGTGTCAAAAACGTATTTCAAAGTGCATTGCAGACTATACCTTTTCCTCTGACGAAACTGTGAGCTTGTCACTTGATATCAAACTGCAAACTTGGTCCAGGCTTAGACTAAGAAATTCTTCACCAAGCATCACCTCAGGAAAATGCTGCTCTGTTCAAAAGAATCAGAAGTCAAGAAAGAAAAGGAAGATTACAATGAAATCGACAGTCTAAGGCCGAGGTTCACCAGTACTAGCTATGCATCGGGGACCACCAGGGTCATTCAGACAACTTTCAGATGGGCCTCATCCCTGAAGCCCATGCCACGCTTGCAGGAAGGACAAGGCATAATAAGGAAACCTGTGGCAGGAGGCAGCTTACAAAGGAAGCAGAGAAAATAAGGAACAGGATAGTAGTAAGAATGTTTTGAGAAATATCAGCCAGGAACAGCTCAACAATATTAGCTAAAGAGTCCTCCATTTTAAGAGCCTCTGAATTCAAGAGCCCCATGAGCTGTAAGCCCTGCCCTTTGGCGGCAGCAGCAGCGCTTGCCGCCTGAAAAGTGATTTTTGCCTGAAAGGGGAAGAGTTGTTTTGCAGCCAGTTCCATTTTCGGGATAATTAGAACTGGAATCAAACTTAAATTTGCCACTCTCACAACCACCCTTACATAAATATATGCTATAATTCTCCTTGGAATACTACATACCACTCTGGTTGATGTACCCAGAAAAAAGGGCACTGTAGAGATGGGAAAGGGACACCGGAAAAGGCAATCCAAAATTATCAAGAGCCTGGTGCAAGTTTCCTGTGAGGAATGGTTATCACACTGGAGCCTCTTTAGTTTTGTTTTATATATAAAACAAAATTGTGCATGGTGTGGAGAAAAGAAACAGGGGCACCCTTTTCTCCCTCTTTCATAATGCTGGAAACCAAATGTTGTCCACTGGGATTCACTGGCACAAGCAGAGAGAGCTGCAAACTTGGAGGGCTTAAACAGAGACTCATGAAGAAGAGGGCTATCAGTGAGGATCCCTATGATTCTGTTTCTGAAGAACCCGCTAACTGTCCACAAAGGTCTGTGCCAAATAAAAAGTGTCAAGTCTTCAAGAGGATGGAAGACGCTTTGCTCTTTTAGGATGCCTCTATATATGAACTGCTGGACAGGATTAGCTGGAGTGATCTTTTGCATTGATCTCCAGTTTCTGGACTCCCCAGAGGACAACTGGCAGGTTGCCATGTGACAAAAATTCTGGACTAGATGGGGCTCTCCTCTAATTCAGCATGGCCTTTCTTATTTTCACTTGTCATTGAGCTGTGATGCCTCCAAGGAGAAACTGGAAGAAAGCTAACTATAGAATTCTGTGCTACAAGGAAACAACAGTGGAAAAGAGAATTTAGCAATTCCCAAAAATGCATCAGATATCGATCTAAAATTGTATTATTAATTGCTAACTGATCATGCCAAATACCATCTCTCCCTGACACTGTCTTAGGTGTGCCTCTGCCCCTGCGCTGTCATTTTCTGACTGCTGTGCAGGTAGAACATTTGGCATCCCTGGTTGAAAGTAGAAGGGGGAAAAACCAGCAGAAATATGATGCCATGACATAAATAGCAATCTGAATATCAGGCAGTGATACACCTGTAAAAAGGTAAAAAAGGGAACTCCACAACCACACTGTTAAGTGGGCCATCTGCTGCTGTGTATGTAAACCTCTGAGTTTCATATGCACAATGTAAAAACCACAGCTCGATGACAGAACATATGCTTTCCATGCAAAAGACCCCCAATTCAATCTCAGACAAACCTTCTTTGAAACCCTGACAAGTTGCTGACAGCTCATGTAGACAGTTCAGCCTGGTGGCAGCTGGTAATGATGAGAGCTATAGGCCAGCATATCTGAAATGCACCATATTGAGAGAAGGCTGGTTTACCCAATGCTGAGTTAGATAGACAAGTGATCTCATCCAATTTCCTTTAGGCAGAATGAAACAGAGCAGCTTCCATAGCAGCCCAGAACCCATAAAAGGAAATCTAAACACTCTCCAGGGGATTGCAACATCTGACTAGTTTTCCTGGTTAATAACCACCATAGTCAGTGATGTGATTCTCATTAATATATACATACAGATACATTATGGTACTGATTCCCTCCTCTAGATGCTACATTCCCTATTTTCCATACTGCCTCTTTCTATTTCTATTTTTTCAGTTCTTGCCAAGACTGTTCCTCTGTTTACCAGCAGATGGTACTCACAGACAGACATAAATTTCTGCTTAACCTTTAACAAAATAGTGGTTTACAGATAACCCAAATGTTATTAAAGAGGAAGGAAGGAAGGAGTCCAAACTTTAGAAAGACAAAACATACACCAATGTGTTAATAAGTCCACATTTTCTGTTTTTAGCTACTTTTCAAAGATGAATTAACTTTTACACATTCTTACATGCTCTTGTCAAGTTTTTTTAAAAAACATGTAGATATTTAGTTCAGCACAGTTAATGTATAGCCAAAGAATTTTGGCAGCATTTTTGAAAGACATTTCATTAACTCCACAAAATACATTAAAGTAAAAAGAACTTCATGGAGGCTAATAAAACAACAAAAACAGCTCTTGTAATTACCGAACAACATTATAAACTGAATGCAATAGTTATCTGGTTAAATATTAAGTAGTTCTTTTTTAAAAAGCAACAAGGTTCTTGTGGTGAGCCATTTGTTCCAGATCAGTTTCTCCAAAGTGTGTTACGCACCAAAGGGTGACTGAAAAGGTTTTATCTAGATTTGCAGGTAATGCGGTTCACATCCAGCACTTCCTATCCAGTGTGTTTGTAAAGAGCTATGCAACGGTTCCTGTGGAGGTCACAGAAATCTCAGACTGGGGATGGCTGATGCTTCAAGAAAGACAAATGTTTGCTTTAGTATAATACACATATTAGCAATCTGTTGCCTTCAGGCATACCAAAATTAAAAAAGAAACCCCAGAGATGTCTCTAGAGTCTGCTTTCTTGTTTTGCCATAGAGGTTGTTCAGATGAAATCATGTGTGTCCACCTTATATGGAGCTTCACCAGGTCTGTGCATCACTCTAGATGACAGTCCAAATATACTGAAAGTTCCTCATATGTGACACGTCTTGCCCTCTGAAATATAACCTACCTTGACAGACTAGGTTATCTCTACAAGTGTTTAACTCTTACTACCTGCTGTGATCTGGTGGCTTCCATGAATGTAGCTGACAATTCTGTATGGCTGAGTATATCTCCCAATATTCAATGGACCCAATTTCTACCAATATCACAGTGCTTTTCCTCCCTAGTATTAAAACTTTGGAGGATGGATTCTCAAACAATTATAAAAGACTGAATCAGTCTGATTGATTCTTTCTTTAGAGCAGGGTGGGAAATATTGAACCCATCAAGGCCAACATTTGAGCCCTGAGAACCACTCTATACGGAAAAATATTCAAATCTTTATCCCTGCCCAAAATACAGAAGAATTTACACACACAATTCCCATGGTGAATGATTTTCTTCTAAAACAAGACATGCCCTTCCTACTTTTTTGTCGCCAAAAATCAGTTTTACAAAAACTGAACACACAGTACCCTCTGGTGACCTGCAGTTTCATTTTCAGGTGCTGGTGTTGCTAGGGCCACAAAAATGACCCCCGTTTACCTATCCCTGCTCTTAAATATTTTAGATTATTACAATCTATTATTTCACCCTATCAAAAAAAAAGCATGGAGGCTATTGATACAATATCTATCCAGTGACCCAGCAGAGGGAAACATGGTGGCTTTCATATTGTGGAATTGCAATTCTCCCCCCTCCTCCCTCCCCCACAGAAGATCATTATACTGAAAAATGGTCTCAAAGTGATTCTGGGAAGGAACAGGTGGAAAACAGTAGACTGCAGAAGCCAGAATTGGGGTGAACAACGTCTGCAGAATCAATGGACTTTTTTTTTTTCAAGTTGGCTGTCTGTTCAGGGGTCACACTCCCAAAGAGTGGCCACAGCGGAAAGTGAGAGTGGACCTTCTTCTTTCGTTGATCTTATTCCTTGTTTTGAAATCCAGTAAATATATATAATTTAAAATCCCTATAATTTTAAAATTAATTTAAAAAAAACACCACTCACTCAGACTTCATTAATTACTTTGAAAAAGTAGATTGTTTACTGCAAGTGACATTTATTACAGAATAACCTGAATTCACCACATATATTCAGTAATAAGAGCACACCAAAACCTTGGTGAAATGAAGGATTCACCATCAAAAATGAGTGGGAATTGTTTCCTCACTTAAGCAAATGCTAATGAAATGTTGCCTTTTCCAACCGAGAGCAATTCATTTAATGGTCTGTTGCCGAATGTTGGCATCAAACCATGCTGCTAATGTTCACTGCCATATCTCATTAGCAGTAGTTATTTAACTTTTCTTGAAGGTGCTAAAGGGGGCAGAAAAAAGACTTAGAGGGATTCATGTGGTAGCAGGCTCACCTCTGACGAAGAATGTAGATCACATAATTCCAGAAACACTTAGCCAGTTCAACAAAAAAATGATCTCCCTGTCAAAGCATCTTGGCAATGCATCTCCCATCATTACTGCATGGGTGCACATTCTGGCTCTGATATATGTGTCATTTCTAAAACACATCAACTATACTCAGCCACTATAGTATAACCAGAATCCTATTGATTCTTTATGAACGCACAAGAGAAAACACACAAGTTACTGTGACTAGTTCTGTCTTTATGTTCAAGGCGGAAGAACAGGCATGCAACCAGATATATACGATATGTTACCGCTACTTCAACAGTAAGCCATGGTGAGTTACATGTTTTCATAAATAACCACTATGGTCATTCTCAATACTAGATTATTTACTGTGACATCAAAAGTTGAACTAAGAGAAACACAAATGATCTGAAACAAACATCAAATGCATGTTTAGGTAGAGCACCACTATCAAAGTAATGACCAGTACAAAAGCAGAATGGTAGACAACTAACAGCACTAAAAGTTAAGTCCCACTTTATTTTGGTGGCGAAAACTTCTAGGAATTAGTTCAAGAACACACGGGTTACCCAAGGTCGGGAACCACTAGTCTAAAGCATCTAAGCAACAAAGGAATTTTCCCTCTTCCTTTTTAACATTTATTTACTGAAGCATAAACCGTCCTCTAGGCATCAACATTTTAACCTTTTGAAGCAAAAGACCTCTTGGAGGCTGCTGTGATCACCTGCATAAGCATTAGCCTGTTGCAGTAGTTCAGTACAGGTGTGCACATCTGCAAAGGCACGGATTCCAAGACAGTTGGTGGGATGCAGCTGAGACTGGAGAAAATCACAACAGTTTTGTCGAACATCCATCAACTGCAACAGGCTGGCTGCTGGCAACAAAACCTGAAGGGCAGGGAAGAAAAGGATAACAGAAATTTAGCAAATACCAAACTGCTGTCTTAGATAAACGATGCATTACTCCTCACCACAGTGTTCTTTAAAGAGAAATACTGGCTGAAATCCTTGTGGTTCAAGCTCTGCTTGCACAAAGCTGGTGATGTCATCAGCTGTAACCTTTCATCTTATTTATTTATCTGTTTCTTTATTAATTTCATTTATATGTCATTCTACTCCCCCAAAGAGACCCAGGAGGGTGCACAACACCAAAACAATGCATATACCATAAACATACTCGATATAAATGATAAAACACAATAAAACCTAGCAACAACGCAAACATTAACTTATAAAAATGCATGCCATGCAAGTGGTAGAACAGCAATTTCTAGCCTCCAAAGACCCACTAAAACTTTTGGCTGTTGGGCAAATATAAGATTATATTGTCTTTGCACTATAAAATTCAGAATTCCTGAAGGGAGTCATACTTTACAGGGACACAGGAAGAGAATTCCAGAGCATAAAGGCAACAACCCAGGAGAATCTTCTACAAACATTTTCAAGTTAGACTGCTTTGCCAGTTGGCACCTTTAAAAGGGCAGTTCCAGATGACCTCTCTTGGCACTGGGTCTTGATATAAGTAGAGGTGGTCCAGTAATAAGAATTATCATTAATTAATAGTTTCCAATCCCCCACACCCACCCAGCACTATCACTTCCAAAGCTTCCAAGGGATCCCATTTGTCATGGTGAAGCCTCTGGGGGGACTCAAGATCAGAGGGAATCTTTCATGTCCAAAAATCTCTGCCAACAGTCTTGGTTTCATGGTGGGACCAGCAGTGGTGATGTTCAGACATTTAAGACCCCTTCTCATCCTGAGGCCCCCAGAGGCTTCTCCAGGATGGAAGGGGTCCTTATGGATCCTCCAGACCAAAAGAGGAATCAGAAGCTTTTAATTAACAATAAAAGCCCACAGCTGATGACAACATCAGCTCTGTATGCATAGATTTCAGCCAGTGAAAAGGCAACTCTATTACAGGTTTAGAAATACAGTGGTGCCCTGCATAGCGAGGTTAATCCATTCCGGATTAACCCTCGCTATGCGGAATCGTCGCTAAACGGGTAGGGAAAACGTATTGAAACGCATTAAACTTAGTTTAATGCGTTCCAATACCTTGCTTACTTACCCGTTCAGCGAGGATTCCCCTTGCCGGCAGCCATTTTCGCGCCCTCGCTAAGCGAGGGCAGGGCGTGAAAACGGCTGCCGGCAGCCATTTCCGGGTTTTCCCCATTGCGAAGATCGGGTATGTTTCCGTATAGCGATCCCGAAAAAGGGATCGCTATACGGAAACATCGCTATACGGTGCACTCGCTAAGCGAGGCACCACTGTACCACTAAACAGAAAGCATATATACTCATCCCCAAAGGCAAGAGTAATCATGCAGGCAATAATCATTTTGATACCTCTTTTCCATTTCTTTACTGTCAAGGAAAATTACAGGCCTGAGCAGAATGGAGTGTATTAATGAGAAGCCATAATGATCAGATGTGTTAAAACTGAGTCAGGATGACTCAGCAGTGCTGATGCAACTCAGGGACGATGCAACCAGTAATCTGATTGGTTCTGTATGTGTATATAAGTGTGAATTGTACAGTCAGTTGTATCTTCCTGCTTGAAGATCACTTCTACACGTTATGCTGCCAGAATGCTGTAAATGCTGCTGTAAATACACATTGCTGAAGGAAATGCTGCTGGACTGTGCGTGAGTTATTTCTGGACTGCCTGGACTGCGAATTACTCTGCTAAACAGCTAAGAAGCGTGGATAGAGAAAAATCTGATGGAATAGAATAATAGTTCTGATATGTACATCCGAGCAACATGCCTATATCCCTGAATTTCTTAAAGCTTATTCCATAGAGTAGGTGGTGTTTCAAAAAAGTAAAAGTAAAAGAGGAGATAAATACAATATGTCATTTCTATTTGTGCATTTTAAACTTACCTAAATAAGAGCTCATAATTTCATTGTTCATAGTATTATTAATTTTACCATGATATATAGCCATCAATTCCCACATACAGTTATATACCATGGCATGGAATACAGTGTCCTTACAGCATAACCCAAGCCATGTTTTTACTGTCATGTTTTTTGCAAACCAATCTCTTCCTTAGATTTTATAGTGCAATATAACCTTGCATTTGCCAAATACCATTACGTATCAGCCATACTCACTGAAGTGACATAAAATCATGTAATGGACATGCTGGCTGAGCATTCTGGCAACTGTGGACCAAAAATGTAACTTCCAGAAGCTCAACGGTCATGGAAGTGAGCTATGTTTAAGCATGGAGGACACCTGGAGCCCATTTGTTCATCCTAAATATATGGACTGTGGCCTTCAAGGTCAAACATGTCAGTCAATCAAGAAACTTTGTATTCCCACAAAAACTCTCTTCATCTGAGCCTTGACGGGGGAAATGGGGCAGCTCCATTGCACTGACAGACCAACTTCACTCTAAATTATTTCCACAAACGACAGCAAACTGCTCCCATATCCAAAGGCTAATATTGCTGAAAGGATCCTATCCAAATGTGACATGCTGATGGCGTCAATGACATTCCGAGTATTTAGGGAAGGCAGATGGAGAAAATGGCTCGGGGTGCACACATTTTATATACTGGCTGAAAAGGACTCCTCTCTCGTTCATGTAATGAAAAAGGAATTTAAAAGGTATGCCTCCTTAGAAACCCACACAGTATTAATGTCATGTCTTTTGTCACTGAAGCTATTATTTATTTATTTGGAGTCAAGAAAACTGGCAGGCCTTTAAAGCGTGATTTTTAAAATGTGACAAACACTTGTAAGGACTCACCTCGCCATAACACTGAGCTTAACACAGACAAAAGAACTGTAGTTGTCCACTGACTTAGTTCACTTCACACAAAGAGAGCAGTAAGTAACCTGCTACGTGCCCTGAGGTCTGTTCACTGTACTATTCCACTAAGAAAAACCCAATCCAGCTGGATTGCACGGGAATATTACAAATCAGTAACTTTTTTAGAGAACACTAACCCCAATAGGCAACATTAAAACCCAGAAATTAATTATGGATTCTCATGCCCCAAATACTTTGATTCCTAGACAAGATTAACTTACATTAGCAAAGGAAAATTAATGACAGCTATTTCTTTTTCAACCAGCATCTAGGAATTGCTTCATCATTTTAACATTCCTCTAATTTAGAATGATTGAAGTCCAGATTTCCTGATAAAGTTCACATCAGTGGTTAACTGTTTATATACCACTAATTGTCACTCACACTTTTAAGAGTAGAACAGGAAACCTCTGGTTCAAGTCTCACTTCTGCTACAAACAGCCACCATTCTAGACAGCCTGGTTCAGATTTCAAGGCCAAGCCAAGCATTACCCATAAGGGGAGGGCCTGCAGCTCGCTGGCTCTGCTTTTCCTTTGTGTGTTCTAGTTCTCTTGCTTGCTGGCTCATCATAACAGTTTACCGTGTCATCCAAATCAGATAAACTACAGTAACCACTCAACACAATTTTTATCCAAGTTGGAAACCACAGTTTCAACAAGAACTTGAGCTGCTCTACAGATGAAAACTGCTGTTTCTGAAAAACCATAATTGGTTCTATTCTAATATAATGATGAAATATATCGAAAAGCAAGATTATTTATGCATGCAAATAAGAAGCACAATAGCAATGTCCAAACCAGGGCTTTTAGCAATATTGTAAAATGCACAATGTGCAACAGCCCAATTCAGCATTCCATAAGGCAATTCAAAATCTAGGCTGCCCCAAACAAAAAAAATTCTAACTTGGACCTCAGACCAGCAGCAAATTTGGCACAGATGTAGCAGACAATCTGCTCTTGCTCTGTACCAAATCTGGGCAAACAGTTTTCAAGTTATGAGTTACATTTCAAGTTATGACTTACATCTAAGGAAGTATCCAAAAACCCTCACATTAAAACACAGCTGTTAATCTTTAAGGTGTTACAATGTTTTTGTCTTCTTTATTTTTTATTTTTCTTTAGTATTTGCCTGACATGTTAGGTTGTTCTCTCTTCATGCCCCCCCCCCCAGCAATATCATGTTTTCCACTGAATTCTGCTCATATCTTGTAAAGTGACAGCTGTGGCTTCTTTTCTTTTCTCATCTTAGATCTTCCTCTTTTTCTATTGCTTCTCCCCACTTTTCACTCCATTGTCCTCAATTCTGCTCACTTCTGTGTTTCTATTATATATGCATGGTAGGATTTAGATTAGGCATCCTTCAGTCTCAAGAGACTATGGTAACATGCTCTGTATGGAGGAAATGGAACAGCGTCTAGTGTAGCTGAGAAGGCCAATTCGAAAGTGACAATCCCTTCCACACTGTTTCCTGTCCAGCTTCCTCATTTTGCTGGTTTTGGGACTCCCTCTTTGCCTCAGCCTGCTGAACAAGGGACTCTTCAAATTGGGAGAGGCCGTGCTGCACTGCCTGCCTTCAGGCTGAACGCTCAGGTGTCAGGGTTTCCCATCTGTTGAGGTCCATTCCTAAGGCCTTCAGATCCCACTTGCAGATGTCCTTCTATTGCAGCTGTGGTCTCCCCCTGGGGCAATTTTCCTGCACTAATTTTCCATGGTAGGACAGGTTCAGTTTAACTATTTTTGATTGAACAAAATTTCACGCTTGACTTGATTGAGCACTCATTTCTCAGCTTTTCTGCCTCACTTGCATTTCCGTAAGGTTTTCCTCCAACACCACATTTCAAAGTAGTTGATTATTGCCTCTGTCTTTCTTCACTGTCTTTCTTTCACATAGTATGGATGATTTTGATCTTGGTTTTCAGTGACATTCTTTGCTAACCCCAACCTCTTCAAAAAAATTTTTGTTTCAAAAAGCAAAGGAACATGATTTGGAAAACATGCACACAACATGTCCGCAGAGATTTTGATCTGACATAGCTTTTCTTCCTCAGTTTGCCTAACTGCAAGAAA